TATTACACAGTACTAGTACTTCACAGTATCAGTACTACACAGTACTAGTACTTAACAGTACCGGTACTACACAGTACTAGTGCTTCACAGTACTAGTACTTCACAGTACCAGTATTACACAGTACTAGTACTTCACAGTACCAGTACTACACAGTACTAGTACTTAACAGAAACCAGTATACACAGTACTATTTGCTTCACAGTACTAGTACTTCACAGTACCAGTATTACACAGTGCAAGTACTTCACAGTACCAGTACTACACAGAACTAGTACTTCACAGTACCAGTATTACACAGTACTAGTACTTCACAGTACCAGTACTACACAGTACTAGTACTTCACAGTACCAGTATTACAATGCCAGTACTACGCATTACCAGTACAGTACAAATACTACACAGTGCCAGTGCTACACAGTGCCAGTACTACACAGTGCCAGTGCTACACAGTGCCAGTACTACACATCACATGTGCTACACATTACCAGAATTAGTGTCAGTACTACACAGTACGAGAACTGCACAGTAAAAGTACTACAGAACCAGTGCTACACAGTACCAGTACTTCACAGTACCAGTACCACACCGTTCTAGCATTTCACATTACCATTAGTACACAGTACCAGTACTACACAGTGCTAGCACTAAACAGTGCCAGTACTACACACTAACAGTACTGCACAGTGCTACAGTACCAGTACTACACAGTACTGGTACTGTGTAGTACTGGTACTACAGTGCCAGTACTACACAGTACCAGTTCTACACAGTGCCAGTACTACACAGTACCAGTTCTACACAATGCCAGTACTACACAGTACCAGTTCTACACAGTGCCAGTACTACACAGTACCAGTTCAAACAGTACTATTTACTACACAGTACTCAGTAACTACACAGTACCAGTTCTAAGTACTAGTACTACACAGTACCAGTACTACACAGTACCAGTTCTACAGTACTAGTACTACACAGTGCCAGTACTACAGAGTACCAGTTCTACAGTACTAGTACTACACAGTCCAGTACTACAAGTACCAGTTACTACAGTACTAGTACTACACAGTACCATACTAACAGTCCCAGTACTACACAGTACCAGTACTACACAGTACCAGTTCTACAGTACTAGTACTACACAGTGCCAGTACTACACAGTACCAGTTCTACAGTACTAGTACTACACAGTGCCAGTACTACACAGTACCAGTACTACACAGTACCAGTACTACACAGTACCAGTTCTACAGCACTAGTACTACACAGTGCCAGTACTACACAGTACCAGTTCTACAGTACCAGTACTACACAGTACCAGTACTACACAGTACCAGTTCTACAGTACTAGTACTACACAGTACCAGTACTACACAGTACCAGTTCTACAGTACTAGTACTACACAGTGCCAGTACTACACAGTACCAGTTCTACACAGTACCAGTACTACACAGTACCAGTTCTACAGTACCAGTACTACACAGTACCAGTACTACACAGTACCAGTTCTACAGTACCAGTACTACACAGTACCAGTACTACACAGTACCAGTACTACACAGTACCAGTTCTACAGTACCAGTACTACACAATACCAGTGCTACTCAGCACCTGTACTACGCAGTACCAGTACATCACAGTCTCAGTACTTCTTAATACCAGTACTTCAGAGAACCATTACTTCACAGTACCAGTAATACAGTACCAGTAACTCACAGTACCAGTACTTCAATACCAGTACTTCACAGTACTAGTGCTACACAGTAACAGTACTTCACAGTATCGGTACTACACAGTGCCAGTAGTATACCGTGCCAATTCTACAGTACCAGTACTACACAGTACTAGTACTACAGTACCAGTGCTACACAGTACCAGTAATACACAATACCAGTACTACAATACCAGTACTACACAGTAGCAGGGCTTCACAGTACCAGTTCTACACAGTACTATTACTACACATTGCCGGTTGTACAGAATACCAGTATTACACAGTACCAGTGCTACAGAGTAGCAGTACTACACAGTGCCAGTACTAGACTACCTGTACTCCCTGGAACGCAGGAGGGAGAGATACATGATTATATACACCTGGAAAATCCTAGAGGGACTAGTACCGAACTTGCACACGAAAATCACTCACTACGAAAGCAAAAGACTTGGCAGACGATGCACCATCCCCCCAATGAAAAGCAGGGGTGTCACTAGCACGTTAAGAGACCATACAATAAGTGTCAGGGGCCCGAGACTGTTCAACTGCCTCCCAGCATACATAAGGGGGATTACCAACAGACCCCTGGCAGTCTTCAAGCTGGCACTGGACAAGCACCTAAAGTCGGTTCCTGACCAGCCGGGCTGTGGCTCGTACGTTGGTTTGCGTGCAGCCAGCAGTAACAGCCTGGTTGATCAGGCTCTGATCCACCAGGAGGCCTGGTCACAGACCGGGCCGCGGGGGCGTTGACCCCCGGAACTCTCTCCAGGTAAACTCCAGTACCAGTACTACACAGTACCAATACTACACAGTGCCAGTACTACACAGTATCAGTACTGTGCAGTGCTGGTACTACAGTACATGACGTACACAGTACCAGTACTACAGTACCAGTCCTACACAGTACCAGTACTACACAGTGTCAGTACTGCACAGTACCAATACTACAATACCATTGCTACACAGTACCAGTATTACACAGTACCAGTAGCACACAGTAACTGAACTACAGTACCAATAATACACAGTACCAGTTCTACAGTACCAGTACTACACAGTACCAGTACTGCACGCTACCAGTACTACACAGTACCAGTACTGCAAACTACCAGCACTACACAGTACCAGTACTGAACACTACCAGTACTACACAGTACCAGGACTACACAGTACCCGTACTACACAGTACAAGTACTGCACGCTACCAGTACTACACAGTACCAGTACTGCACACTACCAGTACTACACAGTACCAGTACTGAACACTTCCAGTACTACATAGTACCAGTACTACACAGTACCCGTACTGCACAGTGCCAGTACTACACAATACCAGTACTACACAGTATCAGTACTACACAGTACCATCACTACACAGTACCAGCACTACACAGTACCAGCACTACACAGTACCAGTACTACACAATACCAGTACTACACAATACCAGTACTACACAGTACCAGCACTATACAGTACCAGCACTACATAGTACCAATACTACACAGTACCAGTACTACACAGTACCAGTACTACACAGTACCAGTACTACACAGTACCAGCACTACACAGTACCAGCACTACACAGTACCAGTACTACACAGTACCAGTACTACACAGTACCAGTACTACACAGTACCAGTACTACACAGTACCAGCACTACACAGAACCAGCACTACACAGTACCAGCACTACACAGTACCAATACTACACAGTACCAGTACTACACAGTACCAGCACTACACAGTACCAGTACTACACAGTACCAGTACTACACAGTACCAGTACTACACAGTACCAGTACTACACAGTACCAATACTACACAGTACCAATACTACACAGTACCAGTACTACACAGTACCAGCACTACACAGTACCAGTACTACACAGTACCAGTACTACACAGTACCAGTACTACACAGTACCAGCACTACACAGTACCAGTACTACACAGTACCAGTACTACACAGTACCAGTACTACACAGTACCAGTACTACACAGTACCAGCACTACACAGTACCAGTACTACACAGTACCAGTACTACACAGTACCAGTACTACACAGTACCAGCACTACACAGTAACCATACTACACAGTACCAGTACTACACAGTACCATACTACACAGTACCAGTACTACACAGTACCAGCACTACACAGTACCAGCACTACACAGTACCTGTACTAAAAAGTACCAGTACTACACAGTACCAGTACTACACAATACCAGTACTACACAGTACCAGTACTACACAGTACCAGTACTACACAGTACCAGTACTGCACGCTACCAGTACTACACAGTACCAGTACTTCACAGTTCCAGTACATCATACTACAGGTACTTCGCAGAGTACCAGTGCTTTACAGGGTACCAGTGTTGTTACTGTGACTCACGTAGTCTCACACAGACTACAATACAACGTTCTTAGTTACGATACTGTTGAAGTTTGCAATCGATTCCTCGCTGCTAGGTTACAGTATCTAAATAGACCAATCAGCGACGAGGAACAGTAGAGTACCGGTAGATAACGAACCAATGAACGACGAGGAACGGTAAGGTAGCAGTAGCTAACGCACCAATCAATGATATGGAACGGTAGAGTAGTAGTATCTAACGCACCAATCAATGACGTGGAACAGTAAGGTAGCAGTAGCTAACGCACCAATGAACGACGAGGAACGGTAAGAACACCAGCAGCTAACGGACAAATCAACGACGTGGGGCGGTAAGGTAGCAGTAGCTAACGCACCAATCAACGACGTGGATTGGTAAGGTAGCAGTAGCTAACGCACCAATCAACGAAGTGGATCGGTATGGTAGCAGTAGCTAACGCACCAATCAACGAAGTGGATCGGTATGGTAGCAGTAGCTAACGCACCAACCAACGACGTGGATTGGTAAGGTAGCAGTAGCTAACGCAACAATCAACGAAGTGGATCGGTATGGTAGCAGTAGCTAACGCACCAATCAACGAAGTGGATCGGTATGGTAGCAGTAGCTAACGCACCAACCAACGAGGAACAGTAGAGTACCAGTAGCTAATGGACCAATCAGGAGGGAGTACCAGCAGAGCAGTGGTAGCCAGTAAACCAATCAACAACCAGCGCCGGCAAATTAGTGGCAGCTAATGGACCAATCAACGTCCATCAGAGTCCGAGTAATGGCACTTAATGGGTTCTGGTGATAGATAAAATGAAGGAAAATAAAAACTGAGATATTTATTTCCTAAATTAAAAGATTATCTTTTTTTCTTTTTATTTTTTTTTTCATATTTTGTCCGATTTCTGGTTTCATTACATTTTGTACGGATGCACTTTCATTGGTGCCCTGGACACTTATAACGAAAAACTGTGCTAACAACTTCACTATGACTAATGGACGGTAACTTGACTTTAGTTTGGTTATATAGAGGTAACGAAATTTATGAAAGATTTGAGTTGTGTATGTTAGAGAGTTGTCTCTAATAGTCGGTGGCGAGGGAGAGAGATTTTGCTGAGAGAATTGTGAGAGATAGATGGATAGATGGATGGATGGGTAAATTAATACATGTAAATAGATTGAAAAAATAGAACGAGAAAGAAGGCTAAGTTGGTCAGGAAACAGGACAAGTGTTTCCTGATGACCCACATCTTGGGGTTTTGGTCATCTAACCGAGGCCTTCCGCTGGCTTATCGGTTCGCCCTTTTAAAAACTATGATTATGATTAGAACCACTGAGTTCGAAGGACAGACGAAAAAAGTACAGACAGACTGATATGTAGTTCTCCTTTCACTTGTGTATCTGCTGAAGAGGACCCCAGCAGGGGGTCGAAATATACAAATCAATAAATCTTCCGAGTTTCTGTCTCCATGTACTATTGAGCATATATAGTTACATACAAATTATTTAGGTAAGTTGTGATGCGTGTAAATAACACAGAGCAGGTTTAAGTAAGAGAGACACACGTCTTCTGATGAGTGTGTGGACGGGAGTGTGTGGACGGGTGTGTTGGTGCCAACTGGTGTTATTATCTTCAACAGTTTCCACCAGATGAAGGATCAGATTCTTCAAGACTAAGGTGCTCATCACCAACTCCAAGGCTGAAGGACTGATAACTTAACCATACCACGGGTGGGGTTTGTTTGCAATCGTGTCATTACGATTTTGTGAGTCATGCAGACTGATAACCTCATCTTTTGTATGTACTTCTATAGTCTTCCCATTATGTCCTCGAATTTGTATTGATAAAGCCACTGGTTGTTGAAACATCTCCAAATAAAGATACCCAGATGTTGTACATGTGTCTAATTCTTCATCAAGTCGGTAGTATACCATTCATGTAGTTTCCACCAAGTTAGTCCTCTCCCAGAGAGAATCCAAGAGCTCTGAAAACTTTGACAGTACTGAGACTTGGAGGTAGCACTTCTGCTGGAGGAGTCGTCCTCTGTTGATGGTGAAGAGCTTTAAAGACACTAGCATGCTGACGTGTGATAGACGTCAGATGGTTTGAAGTCTTCAAGAGGCTGCAAGTATTCCTCCACCTCCTGCGGGCTGCTCCTCGTTTGTCTCATCTTCGTTCTTGTCTTCGTCATTTTCCAGGACAGTGCCTGGAAGGCTTGTCTTCCTCACAAGCTCGGGTGGAGTAGAAAGAGTCCTGGTGCTGATGGACGTTGTGGGTCTGGAAAGTACCGACCTTCCAGTGAACGGTCTGGAAGTTCCTGCGTGTTGCAGCAGCAGGAACTCCTCGCGTTCCTGAGGGTCAGGAGTGAGGACCTGGATTGCCGGAGGAGCGCTGGGAGTGAATGCTGGGGGAGAAGAAGGGAGCACTGGAGATGCCTCCGGGGATCTCCTAGAAGCCTCAGGAATAAGGGAAAGGGAAGAATTTTCGAAGTGCTGTGAAATATCAGACTCGGACACAGGAGCGTTCCCAGAGGAACCTGAAGGCTGAGGATCTGACGATGTTGAAGCCTGGGTGTAAAACTCCTGCGGGGGTAGATTTTCTCTGCTAATGGTGAAGAGTCCATTCGGTGCCACGGCAGTTGTAGAATAAGAATCTTGAGGCGACATCAAATTCTCTAGAGGTGGAGGATCCGACACCTCCTCCTCCTCCGGCCTAGTAGTTATGTTTCTGATCTTCCCCAAAAGGTTTCTAATCCTTCTTCTCGCACTGTTGAGTCTCTCAGCTTGCTCGGCTTCGCTGATCTCTCGCTGGTACTCCAGCTCCCGTCTCTTCAGGTCGAGGACCATCTCGTAGCTGGGAGGAGGAAGAGCCAATTGACACTCGTCGAATGACGATGGTCCACCAACTCCACTGCTGCCGTTGGGACCTCCAGCCTCTGCAAAACAAGCGCACAAATTAGGATCATCGCCTCTGAAATAAATAAGAAAGGCTTCTTTCTTCATCACCATATTAAAAAATCTAATATAGATATAATAGTAAAATTTTTTGGTTTAAATAAAAAGTCATCGACGGCACTACCCCACGGGTTTATTAGACAATTTTTTTCTTAAAAACCCGCCTTTAAGTTCTTTTTAACGATTGATTGTCAGGGATACCAAACTCGATTTTTAAAGATCATACAGAACTTACGAAATGGAAGGTAATCGGGGTGTTTCGGGGAAAGGGTGAGGTTTACCCCACAATTCAAGTATTTCCCCGGATGGGTCGCGGATAACAAATGTCAGCAGTTCACTGACGTGTTTGTTTGTGAGATGGGATTGTTACTTTCTTTCCTTCATGCCCTTTTCATAAAAAGATTTTTTTGTTTATTGACGACTTTTCCAGCTGTTTTTTGGTGTTATTAAGCTACTGTGGATGTAACCAGGTGCTGAAGTGTTAAACCCTGGTGGAAGTGTTAAACCCGGGGTGCTGAAGTTTTCAACATGGTGCAAAGTTTTCAAAAAGGGTGCTAAAGTGTTAAACACTGGGCTAAGGGGTTTTCAAACGGGTGTAAAGTGTTAAAACAGGTGCTGAAGTGTTCAACACTGGTGCTGAAGTGTTTCAACACTGGTGCTGAAGTGTTCAACACTGGTGCTGAAGTGTTCAACACTGGTGCTGAAGTGTTCAACACTGGTGCTGAAGTGTTCAACACTGGTGCTGAAGTGTTCAACACTGGTGCTGAAGTGTTCAACACTGGTGCTGAAGTGTTCAACACTGGTGCTGAAGTGTTCAACACTGGTGCTGAAGTGTTCAACACTGGTGCTGAAGTGTTCAACACTGGTGCTGAAGTGTTCAACACTGGTGCTGAAGTGTTCAACACCGGTGCTGAAGTGTTCAACACTGGTGCTGAAGTGTTCAACACTGGTGATGACAGTGTTCAACACTGGTGCTGAAGTGTTCAACACCGGTGCTTGAAGTGTTCACACCGGTGCTGAAGTGTTCAACACCGGTGCATGAAGTGTTCAACACTGGTGCTGAAGTGTTCAACACTGGTGCTGAAGTGTTCAACACTGGTGCTGAAGTGTTCAACACTGGTGCTGAAGTGTTTCAACACTGGTGCTGAAGTGTTCACACTGGTGCTGAAGTGTTCAACACTGGTGCTGAAGTGTTCAACACCGGTGCTGAAGTGTTCAACACTGGTGCTGAAGTGTTCAACACCGGTGCTGAAGTGTTCAACACTGGTGCTGAAGTGTTCAACACTGGTGCTGAAGTGTTCAACACTGGTTCTGAAGTGTTCAACACTGGTGCTGAAGTGTTCAACACCGGTGCTGAAGTGTTCAACACCGGTGCTGAAGTGTTCAACACTGGTGCTGAAGTGTTCAACACTGGTGCTGAAGTGTTCAACACTGGTGCTGAAGTGTTCAACACCGGTGCTGAAGTGTTCAACACTGGTGCTGGAAGTGTTCAACAAGGTGATGAAGTGTTCAACACTGGTGCTGAAGTGTTCCAACACCGGTTGCTGAAGTGTTCAACACCGGTGCTGAAGTGTTCAACACCGGTGCTGACTTGTTCAACACTGGTGCTGACCTGTTCAACACTGGTGCTGACCTGTTCAACACCGGTGCTGAAGTGTTCAACACTGGTGCTGACTTGTTCAACACTGGTGCTGACCTGTTCAACACTGGTGCTGACCTGTTCAACACTGGTGCTGACTTGTTCAACACCGGTGCTGAAGTGCTCAACACTGGTACTGAAGTGTTCAACACCGGTGCTGAAGTGTTCAACACTGGTGCTGACTTGTTCAACACTGGTGCTGAAGTGTTCAACACTGGTGCTGACCTGTTCAACACTGGTGCTGACTTGTTCAACACCGGTGCTGACTTGTTCAACACCGGTGCTGAAGTGTTCAACACTGGTGCTGAAGTGTTCAACACTGGTGCTGAAGTGTTCAACACTGGTACTGAAGTGTTCAACACTGGTGCTGAAGTGTTCAACACTGGTGCTGAAGTGTTCAACACTGGTGCTGAAGTGTTCAACACTGGTGCTGAAGTGTTCAACACCGGTGCTGAAGTGTTCAACACTGGTGCTGAAGTGTTCAACACTGGTGCTGAAGTGTTTCAACACTGGTGCTGAAGTGTTTAACACTGGTGCTGAAGTGTTCAACACTGGTGCTGAAGTGTTCAACACTGGTGCTGAAGTGTTCAACACTGGTGCTGAAGTTGTTCAACACTGGTGCTGAAGTGTTCAACACCGGTGCTGAAGTGTTCAACACTGGTGCTGAAGTGTTCAACACTGGTGCTGAAGTGTCAACACTGGTGCTGAAGTGTTCAACACTGTGCTGAAGTGTTCAACACTGGTGCTGAAGTGTTCAAACACTGGTGCTGAAGTGTTCAACACTGGTGCTGAAGTGTTCAACACTGGTGCTGAAGTGTTCAACACCGGTGCTGAAGTGTTCAACAACCGGTGCTGAAGTGTTCAACACTGGTGCTGAAGTGTTCAACACCGGTGCGAAGTGTTCAACACCGGTGCTGAAGTGTTCAACACTGGTGCTGAAGTGTTCAACACCGGTGCTGAAGTGTTCAACACCGGTGCTGAAGTGCTCAACACTGGTGCTGAAGTGTTCAACACCGGTGCTGAAGTGTTCAACACCGGTGCTGAAGTGTTCAACACTGGTGCTGAAGTGTTCAACACCGGTGCTGAGTGTTCAACACTGGTGCTGAAGTGTTCAACACCGGTGCTGAAGTGCTCAACACTGGTGCTGAAGTGTTCAACACATGGTGCTGAAGTGTTCAACACTGGTGCTGACTTGTTCAACACTGGTGCTGACCTGTTCAACACCGGTGCTGAAGTGTTCAACATGGTGCTGACTTGTTCAACTGGTGCTGACTTGTTCAACACCGGTGCTGACCTGTTCAACACTGGTGCTGACCTGTTCAACACTGGTGCTGACTTGTTCAACACTGGTGCTGACTTGTTCAACACCGGTGCTGAAGTGTTCAACACTGGTGCTGACCTGTTCAACACTGGTGCTGACTTGTTCAACACCGGTGCTGACCTGTTAACCCTGGTGCTGACCTGTTAACCCTGGTGCTGACCTGTTAACCCTGGTGCTGACCTGTTAACCCTGGTGCTGACCTGTTAACCCTGGTGCTGACCTGTTAACCCTGGTGCTGACCTGTTAACCCTGGTGCTGACCTGTTAACCCTGGTGCTGACCTGTTAAACACTGGTGCTGACCTGTTAAACACTGGTGCTGACCTGTTAAACACTGGTGCTGACCTGTTAACCCTGGTGCTGACCTGTTAAACACTGGTGCTGACCTGTTAAACACTGGTGCTGACCTGTTAAACCTGGTGCTGACCTGTTAAACACGGGTGCTGACCTGTTAACCCTGGTGCTGACCTGTTAACCCTGGTGCTGACCTGTTAACCTGGTGCTGACCTGTTAACCCTGGTGCTGACCTGTTTAACCCTGGTGCTGACCTGTTAACCCTGGTGCTGACCTGTTAACCCTGGTGCTGACCTGTTAACCCTGGTGCTCACCTGTTAACCCTGGTGCTGACCTGTTAACCCTGGTGCTGACCTGTTAAACACTGGTGCTGACCTGTTAACCCTGGTGCTGACCTGTTAAACACTGGTGCTGACCTGTTAAACCTGGTGCTGACCTGTTAAACCTGGTGCTGACCTGTTAAACCTGGTGCTGACCTGTTAAACCTGGTGCTGACCTGTTAAACATGGTGCTGACCTGTTAAACCTGGTGCTGACCTGTTAAACCTGGTGCTGACCTGTTAAACCTGGTTGCTGACCTGTTACTCTCAGGTTAACAGTGCCACAGTAGCCACTGGTGTACCGATACAGACGGGGCTTATGTTAAAAAACTGTTTTTTTACAACACTTGCTAACTGTCAAATGGTGCTGATGTTAAACCCCGTTCACCTGAAACGTTGGGCTAAACAACACTTGCTGCCCCAACCTGTGTCTGACCTTTTCCAGGACGTTGAAGGCCACAAATCCCCCGTCAGAGAGCGGCAAAAACAAAACACTTTTATTTGGGGGTAACACCTTTAAGAGCAAATTATTATTATAATTTAATTGTTTTTTATGATAATTTATTATTTCATTTTATTAATACATGCTTATTATTTGTATTAATATTATTAATTATTATTTATATTATTATTTATTATTATTATTATTATTATTATTATTATTATTATTATTATTATTATTGTTTATTATTATTATTATTATTATTATTATATTATTATTATTATTATTATTTTTTATTATTTTATTATTATTATTAATTATTATTATTATTATTATTTATTATTATTATTATTATTATTATTATTATTATTATTATATATTATTATTTATTATTATTATTATTATTATTATTATTATTTATATTATTATTATTATTATTAATTATTATTATTAGTAATATTATTATTATTATTATTATTTTTATTATTATTATTTATTATTATTATTATTATTATTATTATGATTGTTATTATTATTATTATTATTATTATTATTATTATTATTATTATTATTATTATTTTTATTATTGTTATTATTATTATTATTTATTATTATTATTATTATTATTATTATTATTATTATTATTATTATTATTATTATTATTGTTATTATTATTATTATTATTTATTATTATTATTATTAATTATTATTTGTTAAATTATTATTATTATTTTTTATTATTATTATTGTTATTATTATTATTATTATATTATTATTATTATTATTATTATTATTATTTATTATTATTTTTAAATTATTATTATTATTATTTATTATTATTATTATTATTATTATTATTATTATTATTATTATTATTAGATTTTATTATTATTATATTATTATTATTATTATTATTATTATTATTATTATTATATTATTATTATTTATTATTATTAATTATTGTTATTATTATTATTATATTATTATTATTATTATTATTTTTAAATTATTATTATTATTTATTATTATTATTGT